TGGACTTCACCAGATGGAACACACAGGAATCAGATTGACTACATCTGTGGCAAGAGGTGGTGGAAAAGCTCAATATCTTCAGCCAAAACCAGACCAGGAGCTGATTGTGGAACAGTCCATCAACTGCTCATATGCAAGTTCAGCTTGAAGTTAAAGACAGTTAAATCCATGAGAGCCAAAATATGATCTGGAATATATCCCTTCTGAATTTAAAGACCATCTAAAGAATAGATTTGATGCATTGAACACCAGTGATTGAAAACCAGAAGAATTGTGGGATGACATCAAGAGCATCATCCATGAAGAAAGCAAGAGATCACTAATAAGACAAGAAAAGAAGAGAAGACCAAAGTGGATGATAGAAGAGACTCTGAAACTTGCCCTTGAGCGGAGAGTAGCTAAAGCAAATGGAAGAAATGACAAGATAAAAGAATTGAACTGAAGATTTCAAAGAGCAGCTCGAGTAGACAAAGCCAATTACTATAATGAAATGTGCAAAGACCTGGAGTTAGAAAACCAAAAGGGAAGAACACGTTTGGCATTTCTCAAGCTGAAAGAATTGAGGAAAAAATTTAAGCCTCAAGTTGCAATATTGAAAGATTCAAAGGGCAAAATATTGAATGATGCAGGAAACATCAAAAGAAGATGGAAAGAATACACAGAGTCACTGTACCAAAAAGACCTGGTCGATGTTCATCCATTTCAGGAGGTGGCATATGATCTAGAACCAATGGTACTGAAGGAGGAAGTCAAAGCTGCAGTGAAAGAAATTGGTGAAGAAGAAGGCTCCGGGAATTGACAGAATACCCATTGAGATATTTCAACAAATGTATGCCACACTGGAGGCACTCACTCAGTTATGCCAAGAGATTTGGAAGATGGCTACCTGGCCAACTGACTGGAAGAGATCCATATTTGTATCCATTCCAAAGAAAGGTGATTGCACAGATTGTGGAAATTATCGAACATTATCATTAATATCACGTACAAGCAAGATCTTACTGAAAATAATTCATAAACAGTTTCAGCAGTATGTTGACAGAGAACTTCCAGAGGTGCAAGCTGGATTCAGAAGAGGACGTGGAACAAGGGTTAGCATAGCTGATGGCAGATGGATCTTGGCTCAACGCAAAGAATACCAGAAAGATATTTACTTGTGCTTTATTGACTATGCAAAAGCATTTGATTGTGTGAATCATGACAAATTATGGATAACATTGAGAAGAACGGGAATTCCCGACCACTTGATTGTACTCATGAGGAACCTGTACCTTGACCAGGAGGCTGTCGTTCAAATGGAACAAGGGGACACTGCATGGTTTAAAATCAGGAAGCGAGTGCGTCAGGGTTGTATCCTTTTCCCACACTTACTCAATCTATATGCTGAACAAATAACCCAAGAAGCTGGACTATATGAAGAAAAACGTGACATCAGGATTGGAGGAAGAATCATTAACAACCTGAGATACGCTGATGATACAACTTTGCTTACTGAAAGTAAGGATGACTTGAGGCCCTTACTGATGAAGATTGAAGAACACAGTTTGCAGTATGGATTACATCTCAATATAAAGAAGACAAAAATCCTCACAACTGGACCAATAAGCCGCATCACGATAAATGGAGAAAAGATTGAGGTTGTCAAAGAATTCACATTGCTTGGTTCTACAATCGATGCCAATGGAAGCAGCAGTCAGGACATTAGATGATGTGTTGCACTGGGCAGGTCGGCTGCAAAGAAACTCTTTGAAGTGCTGAGGAGCAAGGATGTCTCCTTGAGGACTAAGGTGCATCTGACACAAGCCATGATAATTCCAGTCGCCTTGTATTCATGTGAGAGCTGGACAATGAATAAGGAAGACCGAAGAAGAGTTGATGCTTTTGAGTTGTGGCGCTGGCAAAGAATGCTGAGAGTACCGTGGACTGCTAAAAGAACTAACAGATCTGTCCTGGAGGAAGTGCAGCCAGAATGCTCCTTGGAAGCAAGAATGGCCAGACTTCATCTCACCTACTTTGGTCATGTTGTCAGAGGGGACCATTCCCTGGAGAAGGATGTCACGCTTGGTAGGGTGGAGGGTCAACGAGATGGATTGACACGGTGGCTGCGATGATGGGCTCAAGTGTAGCAGGGATCATGGAACTGGCGCGGGATTGGGCGGTGTTTCCTTTTGCTGTGCATGGGGTCGCTAGGAGTCGGAAACGACTCGATGGCACCTAACAACAATACCTGTAACCATACCACCACCAGGGCTTCTAGAAATATGTGCTTTAACACGGGTCACTCCCATCTCTGATACCATAGCCTGAGTTATTATTTAGTTAGTTACTTTTTTTAAACCTTCTCAACTTTTAGTACATTGTAACTGCTTTTGTATTTTACAGTCTCTTACTGTTGGTTTTTAAATCTCACTACTTTCTTTTGTTCAAGGCACAAAGTAACTCCTCTTTGAATACTTTCAACAATCATTTGTGACTGTAATGCTGTCCGGTTTGGTTGCGTTTGTTGGTATCAGTAAGCTGGCAGAAGCAGCTGTGTTTTAACAGATTCCTCCTTCTGGGGCAGGCTTCGTGCGCTGAGCCTGTCTTGCCGTCCACATCTAGACATTGAGCCTCTGAGGGGTGGCCTTGACCCTGGGACGTGCGGCCCTTCCTCCCTCGCTCCTCTTCCTCTCCCCTCCCTCATGCCTCCCCCACCCTCA